CCTGGACTCCATTCGCAGAAAGTGATGCGTTGCATTGGGTGGGACATTAAAAGAGTAATTCATTTCGAACTCCTCAATCCACAGAGAACTGTCAATGCAGAGATCTATAGTCAGCAACTGAAACGTCTAAATCAAGCCCTTCATCAGAAATGCCCTTCACTCCTCAATCGGAAAGGTTTTCTTCTTCTCCACGACAATACACGTCCACATGTGGCACGTTTGACGCAACATAAGATTATGGAGTTGGGTTGGGAAGTTCTCCCCCACCCACCATATTCTCCAGATATGGCACTATCAGATTACCATCTTTTTCGTTCGCTGCAACACCATATTAATGGGAAAACGTATGCAAATGTGGAAGGTGTTAAAGAGGACATCGACATGTTTTTGCTTTAAAGCCAAGTGATTTCTTTAATCAGGGCATTAACAACCTGATTGTAAGATGGAAAGGCATCATCGATAATAATGGATACTATTTCATTTAATAAATGTTTTGTTTTGATATGAGATTAAACTATTATGTGATACACGTACATTTATGAATAACTACAACGCGTTATTTTTTCCACTGCACACACCCGGATATGCTACTTATATAAGCTGTGTTTGGTATGAATTCAGTGCCCTAAGGTGGTTTTACACTGTGTGATATACAGGCATATTATATGTTTTCTACCCGCTTTAGTGATTTAGAAATCTTAAAAAATTCTCTTGTGTAGTTTTTCTGCAGTTGCAGCATAAACATGTGGTCCAGAAAACCGTTTAGGTTGCCTCGTTCTAGTTGCTTTATTTCTTTGTTCTCTATGGTAGATAAATGTATATTCTGCTCAAGCAGATATTGCAGTAACACAGAGCGTCCATGTAGAAAGGATTACCTATTGTAGTATCTTTTGCTAACCGAATAGATGATGTCTGTCAATTACAACTGACCACTGCTGTGAAAGAACAAGAATCACGAAGTGAAGCTGTCAACGGGACAAACAAAACATGGTTTACCTGATGAATTAAAGCATGTTTTTTTTTTGGCTCAGTTCTACTAGGAGAACATTGTGTTTTAATTCTGCAGAGATCAATCATGAGAGAGTGGAAACAGTAGGACTAAACACTACCTAATAGAATATCGGCTGTGGTCGAACCTGTACAAGTACATGTAATGCATTTTCTTTTTGTATATTCTTAATAACGATTGTGTTTGTTTCAATTAAAACTTGCCCAATCTCATTATTTAACATGCAAGAATATTTAGTTAAGTTTTCCAATGCAGAATACTCCACAGATTTCCTTGTTTAGTCTGTTGTTATTAGCATATCTAACCATCTGATACTTCTATGGAAGTCTGTTCACCTGAAAATACCACATCTACAGTGCCTTGCAAAAGTATTCGCTCCCTACCATTGATGTCACATTTTGAATGAAATACAAATAATGTAAACATTTTTTTATTTAACTTGTTTGTATTCAAAACTCTAATGATCAAACTTAACACTGTTATGTGTGAAGAAGATTGAATGTCAGCAAAACATGCAAAGAAAATATACAAACTGAAATTTCCTGATTCCATAAGTATTCATTCCCCTAAGTTAGTACTTGGTGGAAGCACCTTTGGCGGCAATTACTGCTGTGAGTCTTTCTGGATATGTCTCTAACAGCTTTGCACAATGGAATTGTGTAATTTTTGTCCATTCTTTCTGGCAGAATTGATCCCATTCTGACAAGTTCATTGGGGATTGTTGGTGGAATGCAATCTTCAAGTATCGCCATAAATTTTCTATAGGATTAATGTCAGGACTTTGACCGGGCCACTCCAGGATATTCACTTTCATCTTTTGAAACCACTCCAGTGTGGCTTTGGCCTTGTGCTTCGGGTCATTGTCCTGATTAAATGTAAATTTTAGACCCAGTTTTAGATTATTGGCTGACTCAAGCTGTTTTTCCTCTAGGATTCGCCTGTACTTAGCACAATCCATCTTCCCCACAATCCTGACAAGCTTCCCAGTCCCTGCTCATTAGAAATATCCTCATAACATGATGCTGCCACCACCATGCGTGACAGTTGGGATAGTGTTGATTGTGTGATTGGCTGTGTTGGGCTTATGCCAGATGTAACGTTTTGAATTTAGACCAAAAAGTTCAATTTTTGTCTCGTCTGACAAAACCTTCTCCCTCATGTCTGCAGTATCATTTGCATGCTTTGCCGCAAATTCCATATGAGATTTAAGATGATTCCTTTTAAGTAATGACTTCTTTCTTGCCACTCGCCCATACAGGCCAGCTTTATATAGGGACTGGGATATTGTCGATGTATGAACATTAACTCCAATCTCAGACATGGAACTTTGCAAATCTTTCAAAGTCACTGTTGGCTTCACAGTGGCATACCTAACCAGTTTCCTGCTTGACCGGCTGCTTAGTTTGGAAGGGCAGCCTGATCTGGGTAGTGAACGAGTGGTATAAAGCACATTACACTTCTTAATGATGGACTTCACCATACTCAATGGGATAATCAGCGACTTCGACATTTTTTTAAACTTCTCCTGATCTGTGCCTCTCTACCAATTTATCTCTGACTTGTTTGGAAAGCTCCTCAGTCTTCATGGTTGGGTTGTTATCACTATGCGAGTTGTGGCTCGAAGAGATGTATTTACTCTGAAGTTAAGTTAAACCACTTTGATTACACACAGACAGAGACCATTACACTAATTTTGTGATCTTTCAAGCTCATCTTTTGCACTTGAATTGATTTAGGGTTGCTGTAGCAAAGGGGTTGAGTACTTATGCAATTGAGAATATTATTATTTTCTTTGAAAATCTGACTTACTTACATAATATCGGCGTTTTTTAAGTTTTCTCAGTTTGGAGTAGATTGTGTAGATTCTACATATAAAGTTCCATTTGAAAGTTTCATGATTGTAAGCTCAGACGGCAACAAAATGTAGAAACTTTGGAGGTCATGTGAAGACTTTTGCAATAAACTTGATAATATAGATGGCTGAAAAATATAGGCCAGATCTGTCAAAACGTGAGGTATAGTCAATTTTAAATCAACAAACTAGTGAAGTTATCCATTCTGTTTTTTAAAGTACTGTATTCAAGTAACTCTAAATCAATGTACTTCCCCAAGCATTAACTTGTCACTAGCAGGTCCATCATAGTGCATAGCCAATGTACTTCCCCAACCATTAACTTGTCACTAGCAGGTCCATCATAGTGCATAGCCAATGTACTTCCCCAACCATTAACTTGTCACTAGCAGGTCCATCATAGTGCATAGCCAATGTACTTCCACAATCATTAACTCGTCACTAGCAGGTCCATCATAGTGCATAGCCAATGTACTTCCCCAACCATTAACTCGTTACTAGCAGGTCCATCATAGTGCATAGCCAATGTACTTCCCCAACCATTAACTCGTCACTAGCAGATCCATCATAGTGCATAGCCAATGTACTTCCCCAACCATTAACTCGTCACTAGCAGGTCCATCATAGTGCATAGCCAATGTACTTCCCGCAATCTCCAAAAAATAACAAAAAACCAAGGTTGTTTCTGGACCCAAGTCCATATGACCACTTTTTATAATCTGTGCTGAATGGCTTACTGCTTATTTTTTGGTGATGGGTTGAATGGCTTTCTCTTCTCTGTGTTAATCTTATTTTGTATTACCCGGTTTTGGTTTGTAGTAAAGCAGAAAGGGTTAACTGTGCTCTGCCCATCACGGGTATCGAAACCCAGTTTCTAGGGTTATAAGTCCGCAGACATACCGCTGTGCCATTAGAGGGCAGATGATTGTGTAGCTTGGAGCTTAACAACAAACAAAAACCTCTTAATTTACTTCTTTTGGTCGGAAAACTAGAACCATGTACTTTATAGGTTTATCAGGTTTTAATGTACCCAGTTAGTAGAGCACAGTAGTAAGTCTTATAGTTAAGTTTATAATGTT